TATGTTGTTGTTGAGAGATGATGACTGCAGTGGGGGCCTGGTCGCACGGAAGCCCTTGAGAAATTGTAGCCATAGACTTCACTCTGCTGGACCAAGCCAGTGATGGCAGGGAAACCGTCTTAGTGATGACAGATGTCTTCACAAAGTTCACCGTGGCTGCGCCCACCAGAGATCAGCGCGCATCCACAACAGCCAAGGCCCTGGTGAAGGAATGGTTCCATCGCTACGGAGTTCCAGCACGGCTCCACTCGGATCAGGGTCGGAACTCCGAGAACAAAGTGGTTAGTGAACTGTGCAGTATCTACCAGGTGAAGAAGTCACGGACCAGCCCCTACCACCCACAAGGCAACGGACAGTGCGAGCGCTTCAACCGCACCATCCACGACCTTCTCAGGACGCTCCCACCAGAAAAGAAGCGTCGTTGCCATGAGTTTCTCCCTGAGATGTTGTTCACTTACAACGCTACGCCCCATGCAGCTACGGGATATTCCCCCTACTATCTGATGTTTGGACGGAACCCGCGATTGCCTGTTGATGGGTTGCTCGACACCCCAGATGAAGACGATGTGACCATAGACTGGTTGGCAACCCGCCGGGGAGCGCTGAGGGACGCATTCTTCAAAGCTGGGGAGAAGCTGGGATGCGGTGAAGGAGAGGAAGTGGGATAACCGGGCCCGACGCTGCTTAACTTCGGTGATCGGACGAGAACCGGTGCTTTCAGCGTGGTATGGCGGTAGACATTCAAGTAACGTTTTTCAACCCTCTTAACCTCGCACATTCATTACAGGCGATTTGTATAAAATATACCAATATATATATATATATATATATATATATATATATATATAGATAGATGGATGGCAAGGTGGATTCACATGTGTGAAACTGATAAATTATACTTGGTTGAACCAGTTCCAATAATTATATCAGTTATATAAATTATATAACAAAAAAAAGAAATAAAATAACATGGACAGCAACGAACGCAAAAATGAACATGTCGAATACTGTCTTTTAGTTAAAAATGTGAATAGCAAAACAAAAGAAGCCTACAGCACCCGGTATTCCCAGGCGGTCACCCATCCAAGTACTAACCGGGCCGACGCTGCTTAACTTCGGGTGATCGGACGAGAACCGGTGCTTTCAGCGTGGTATGGCCGTAGACATTCAAGTAACGTTTTTCAACCCTCTTAACCTCGCACATTCATTACAGGCGATTTGTATAAAATATACCAATATATATATATATATATATATATATATATAGATATAGATAGATGGATGGCAAGGTGGATTCACATGTGTGAAACTGATAAATTATAATTGGTTGAACCAGTTCCAATAATTATATCAGTTATATAAATTATATAACAAAAAAAAGAAATAAAATAACATGGACAGCAACGAACGCAAAAATGAACATGTCGAATACTGTCTTAAAAATGTGAATAGCAAAAAAAAAGCCTACAGCACCGGTATTCCCAGGCGGTCACCCATCCAAGTACTAACCGGGCCCGACGCTGCTTAACTTCGGTGATCGGACGAGAACCGGTGCTTTCAGCGTGGTATGGCCGTAGACATTCAAGTAACGTTTTTCAACCCTCTTAACCTCGCACGTACATTCATTACAGGCGATTTGTATAAAATATACCAATATATATATATATATATATATATATATAGATAGATGGATGGCAAGGTGGATTCACATGTGTGAACCTGATAAATTATACTTGGTTGAACCAGTTACAATAATGATATCAGTTATATAAATTATATAACAAACAAAAAGAAAACAAAAACATGGACAGCAACGAACGCAAAAATGAACATGTAGAATACTGTCTTTTAGTTAAAAATGTGAATAGCAAAAAAAAAGAACCGGTGCTTTCAGCGTGGTATGGCCGTAGACATTCAAGTAACGTTTTAAAACCCTCTTAACCTCGCACATTCATTACAGTTTGTATCAAATATACCTATATATATATATATATATATATATATATATATATATACATAGGGGAGATAGATAGATACATAGATAGATGGATGGAAAGGTGGATTCACATGTGTGAACATGATAAATTATACCTGGTTGAACTAGTTACAATATATCAGTTATATAAATTATATAATTAACAAAAGTAACAAAAAACATGGACAGCAACGAACACAAAAATGAACAAGCACAATGGAATTACACTGGCTTTTTAGTTAAAAATATAAATAGTAAAAAATCAAAAAGCCTACAGCACCCGGTATTCCCAGGCGGTCACCTATCCAAGTACTAACCGGGCCCGACGCTGCTTAAAGGGATCCTTTACTCTAGGTTCTAGGCTTATTTTTAGTTAATTTAGGTTAAAATTACGCTACATAAAAAGTTTCATGGTTCAATCACCATTAGAAATATTTTAAAAAATTGTTTTAAAACTAAGGACTAGTTTGACCGACGTGGCGCCACTCAAAGCGCACGATCTGAAAAGTTGCGCAAAATAACTTTTCAGCCAATTAAGGACTATAGACTGAGGGTGTTTCTTATTTATTAATTTAAAACAAAAGGATTGTAATATCTTATAAACGACATATATAGTTTCAGTTATATTATGGATAAATTTGTCCTAAAATGAACATCGTTCGGTTAAATAGCATTTATTTATAAATATAATTGCACCTTTGTGATTAGCCCTCGGTCTGTAACATGCAAAATATATTGGGAAATGCACAACTTTTTCAGGGTGGCAGCACGGTCGCGGGTGTCAATGGTGCCGTTCAAATATCGTAGCGTTGATGTATAATTAATTATAACAACTAAATTAGGTATCTGGTAACAAGTACGTGTGGGTATAGACGATTTGTTATACAGTAAGTACAGTTGTATGCAGTAAAATCCTAGAGTCTAGTATCCCTTTAGCATCGGTAATATATATATATATATATATATATATATATATATAGACGAACTTCGTTACAACGTACCTCCAGCGACCTTAAGAATCGGTACGTTATAATGATAGTTCGTTAACCAATTACCATAAAATGAACGCTAAAGCAAGAATTAAAACATGAAAGTTTAATGATGTAACAAATTTGTCAATTTAGAGTAAAATAAAACAATATACCGGTATTGAAAACACCCGACACACCTTTACGATAATTAGACACAATTTCTGCTGTCTGAGACAGCGAAATCTGCTTGCATTTTGCAGGCATGGTTTTGTTTGCTTACCTGGTTGAACCAGTTACATCTGTCCGTCTCAGGGATGCATTGACCATCGGCACACTGCCACTTGCCATCTCCGCATGGACCAACAGTGGGTACAGGCGTTGTACCACCCGGCAAGTCCTTGTCATATGGCTGGCATCCAGGTGTGAAACTGATGTCATCGATAGCAATGTCGCCTGTGATGCCGTAACCGACAGTTCCCTCTATGATGACCTACACGGAATTAAAACACACATTACCACAAATTATAGTCTAATTTGATTGCATTCTGTAACCTCATATCCATTTATGCCTGCACTTCTTTGTGTCCTGTTCCAAAATTTCTATTCCCACATCAAATGGTTTTACAGTGGTAACAGATATCATATAGTTTCTATAATATCATAGTAATCTCAATAAAAGTTCAATCTTATATTTAAAATGGTAAAATTTAGTAGGATTTTATTAGAAGTAATATTTTATATAATTATTATATTAATTTTTCTACCAACAGTTATTATAATCAGGCTATTATTCTCATATCACAAACAGTTTGATATGCTGGTAAGTATCACAGAATCATAAAATGAAGTATTAATAGCACTACTATATATTGTAAAAAATTTAAAAACGTTAGCATAATGTAATTTAAATACTTGCAAAAAAATACAAAAAACAACTGACAAGCATGCTCTTCATCGCTGTCACACGTACAGCACGGCGCCCACGATCTCACCTCAAACGGTTGTGTGATGACTAAGGGGATCTCGATCCTCTCGTAGTAGTCTCCTACTTCTCCAACGCGGGACCACACCTGCGTGAGCATGCCGCCGACCTCGGTGCGTGTGTACACGGCCAGCTTGTCGACCGTCGGGCCGTACATGTGGTAGTAGAACCTCACCGTGCAGCCGCTACTCCCCGCTACAGTGAACGCTTGACTCTTTAGTCTGGCCTGGTAGCCCGGCAGCTGCGGGGAGGACGTCTCTATCAGCATGTAGTAGCCGAACCTGTTGAGAAAGGTGCCAGACTAGAACTCCGACACAGGATAATAGGAGAGAAATTGGATCAATTCACATGGCAATGAAACGTGTTATATCGGATAGCGCATAACCTGGTTGCATTCACCCGCTAAACAGTTGAGCCCTAACCCTACCCTATAGATGCCTCCTGAACTGCCTTGCATACACTGCAGAAGTTCATACAGCTGAGGGTTCAATCAGAGTAAAATATTGTAACCAGTGTCATGCAGGAATAGTTTTTTTTTTAATTACTTGAGGTAAATGGTAATCGGTTTCAACTCATCTGATTCACAGGTGTGTACTAAGTAGCAATTAACCCTGCTTAATTTCTGCCATGTAAATGGTGAAATAGGCAGCAGCCAGAACATGCGTTGATTTTTCTATGTGGACCTTACACTGTTGAGATATGTATACCACTTCTTTGTCTAGCATGACGCAGTCCTAGATCTGTTTCAATCACATCCCAAAGTTGAACATTCGTGCATATAGTACCATAAATTCAGCCATACATAGAAGATTTTAAAACAGACGTTTCCAATTCGTCCACTCCGTTCAATCGAGCTATTAAATTTTCACTTTCCATTAGTACACATTTAACCTATGTGTCCAAACTGCACATATTTTTACGATCAACTTGTATCACGTTGATTCACACGTGCGTTACACGTACATTCCTGCTGCCATGCCTTATATAATGAATTGAGGGTGCACCACTCTAATATGAGCTTTAATATAGTGACATAATTCTATCTATATCCGACTAATCAGAGCACAGCCTGTGACAGCCGGTAGAGCTGCTAGAGCTTGTTCTTCATCACGTTGTAAAAACAGCCAGGAACCTGTCTTATTAGCGAGAAGTGTAGCACGCCCGGTTGTAGGTGAAAGCAGGGGACACCTGACTTTTAAGACCATTCACACAGACCTGCTGTTGGTGGTGTGATCACGTGAGGGGCCTGTCAGATAGGATAGCGTTTCATCCGACGTTCTCTCCCAGTCGAAATCGTCGCCATTCATCTGGTTCCAGTCGCACAGACCGTTCTCAAAGTCGCACTTGTTGTACGCCTGACACAAGGTGGCATCTTCATCCGACTGGTCGCCGCAATCGTCTGTATGGTCACAGATCCTGCGATGAACGGTGAATGACATAGCTATGTTTAGGTATAATTGCACGGGATTACGAGGTTCTTCCACTGGTTTGTCCTGAGAACAGATTATCGTACACGAGCGAGAGCCATCCATCCTCGCACAAGCAGCAGAACACATTCACGAGATGTAACGTTTCAGAATGGTTAAACTGTACTATGAGATCACGGACCCACTCACTCACACTAAATTCATGCACTGCATCTTGTGAATAGTAAATGGGAAAGATTATTGTCATGTACACTAATTTTCAAATGGTGATGTTACAATTGGTATATATACAGCAAGAGATTTCATGGCTAGTGTTATCCTACTATGATTTCTGTGTTTGTCCAACCTGTTGATATGAAGCTATTAAGGTCACTTACCTGGAATTGCTGACGCAGGATTTTCTGGTGCAAAGGAATTCACCAGTAACACATTTGCCATCTGATGATGGCATAGGCAATTCACATGCTACAATAAAATATTTCAAACACTATATCTTCAATCTACTAAGAGATACAGTAATAAATTATATGATTTGCACCAAATAGGCATAATTTAGTGAAAGGAAATCATAACATAACCATCAAAACATTGGCCAAAATAAGCATGGATAGACATTCATGTATACATAAATTTATGTATTATAGTATTATGTATATATATTATATCTGTATACTACTACTACTACTACGGCTACGACGGTGACGGCTACTGCAACTGCCAATACCGCTACCACTACTATCTTATAATTATTAATAATTATTTTATTATTATTATCATTATAAAATTGTTATAATATCGTACATTCAAATTTCACATCGTCAAGAGCAATTTCTCCGCCGGTATAACCGTACTTATCACCAGTGATCGAAATCTTGAATGGACGCGTCAACCTGGATACCTGTACTGTAGCTCGGTTCCACTGTGATCCTAAAATATATAGTATATATAGCAACTAATTTCACTATGCTCTCAGATCTTGTCTTTATAAAAGAGTATATGAATGCTTGCAAAACAGAACTTTATATATTATATCAGTAGTTCATAAGGAAAATTTCAAAACTGAAACTCCTGATTATATATATATCAGGAGTAGATAATAGGAAAGGAGTGTGACTTCAATAAACAAGGGAAATTCGTCATTTACTAGCCTTATAATACCTACGATTTACTACGCGTAACTCATCCAACTTGAGCTCAAATCGTACACAGTATATTCGCCTAGCATCGTGCAAAATCGTTTCCTCGTATACACCAGCAATCCGGAGATAGAGACTAAAACGTACGACACGATTATCCATTCTTTGACCATCAATCCAAACGTATTCCCCGCCAAACTTGCAAACAAAAGGCAGCTACTATAATATATATAACCACTCTTGCTCACTCGGCGAGACGGTGTGGCTCGCAGGAAGATTGCGGTAAGCGTGCGTGCATGGGGGGCATACCAGCTGTATGCCGGTATGCCGGTATGTAGCTGTATGCCGGGTCACAGGTTATCTCGCCGAGTGTTGCGTCGATGTCCAATCTCCCAGCGAGCCACACCGCCTCGCCGAGTGAGCAACAGTGCGTTAGTAGCTACCTTTTGTTTGCAAGTTCGGCGGGGAATACGTTCGGATTGGTGGCCAAAGAATGGATAATCGTGTCGTACGTTTTAGTCTGTATCTCCGGATTGCTGGTGTATACGAGGAAACAATTTCGCACGATGCTAGGCGAATGTACTGTGTACGATTTGAGCTCAAGTTGGATGAGTTCCGCGTAGTAAATCGTAGGTATTATAAAGCTAGTAAATGACGAATTTCCCTTGTTTATTGAAGTCACACTCCTTCCCTATTATCTACTCCTGATATATATATATATATATATATATATAATATAAATACTATTCTATCAGTATATCATTATATTACAGTTACTACACATGCACATGTACTTTCCTGTAGCCCAACCTGATAATATAGTGCATAATATTATACATTATGAAGGTATACAGCTTCACTGGGTAAATAAACCCAGTAATAACAAAATGTTTCCAGCTAAAAATATTGATCAATGCTGATAAGTTGATCCTACCCATGTTTTTAGCCAGCTCCCACATCCTAGTTTTGCTAGCTCCCTCTATATGGAATACCCGTAACTCTCCGCCGAAAGCATCTCTCATCCAGTACCTGTTGCACATAAAAATAAAATGTTGCAGCAATAACAGCAAGTTATGCTGAAGGTGTAGTTATTATTATGTAGTAAATATTGTATAAATGTGTATTTGTTGTATTACGGCCAGACACATGCGAGCACGCAACTCTACTATGCTATCACCAGTGCTAGTTTATTTCAAAATAGAGCATTTAATCTAATTTTAAAAAGTTACTAAAACAACAAACAAAAACAATCCTGTAAGAGATTTAGTTTTGGATATTTCTCACTTTGATCTTGCATATGTATAGTATATAAAGGCGAGTAGAAAAACGTGAAAATTCGCAAAGAAGCAAAATTAGAATTTATAGACAGGAAACAAATAATTGTGAATGAAAACTAAAACATTACATGGATAATCTATAATATGTTAACAAGTTATAAAATTTATTGAATTCTATTGCATCAAATAGTTTCAACCAGTAATTAACACTGTTGTTGTGACTTGAAGAAATTACAGTAATAAACAGGAACTGATAATTCGTGCTTCATAACTTCAGCCAGATTAAAGTGATTAACCAAATAAACTAATAACAAATTAAATAAACGTGACGTGCTCTCACCAGAATGTCAGCTCACAGGTGGCGCTAGCTTGTTGGAGCTCAACAGATACTAGTTCCGCGTACCATGACGAAGAGCCAGTATCATCGGCAATGTACATGTAGTGACCAAGCTGTGTGCTGGTGGTGTGATCGTAGCCTGGACCCGTCTGAGCCGCTGGCGCCGTCGCATTCTGCCTTATCCACTGGTACCAACCGGTGTTTGCCCAACTCCATCCACACACAGCTGTTATAATGCAATATATAGTTGACCCTCATATTAAAATCCTTCTCTCTCTCTCTTTTCTCCCTCCCCTCCCCCCCCTCTGCTCTCTCTCTCTCTCTCTTTTCTCTCTCTCTCTCTCTCTCTCTCTCTCTCTCTCTCTCTATATATATATATATATATATTATGTGTGTGTGTATATTATATACACATATACTTCAAATAATTATCTCTTATCTCAACTCGCAATTTTCTCGGCTACATGGCTAGATCCCAGCATGTATATCTTAAATGCCAACTGGTTGTAGTGTAGCTGAAAAATACTATTTACTGTGCATGGTATCCCGAAAAGTGTGTATTGAAATTGGTGTATATAATGACAATTATACTCCAGATGCCACTATACATACAGTGTTTCCTGTAGAAGCACGGAATGGTTGCAGATTCAGATGCATTCCAGCAACAACCTTGAGCTAGGCAGGACGTTTCATCAACGTACATGCCAGAGTTGCTGCAGTCAGTCCTGTCTATGTCATCTACTAGGCAGGTAGCACCATCAGCTATCATAACAAAATAATGAATGATACCGCTTGAAAATGCAGCAAGCACTGCATCATGAAACATGAAACAGCCATATTTTATACAAGTGGTTTTTAGGCAAGAACATTTCATGGTAGGGCAAAAGACACTAGAATAGACACATTGACTGATTGTGCAAATCTAGGTCAATTCATTAGCTATTTAAGCTTACTAGCTTCTTAATTTCTTAACGAACCCGTCTCAAAGGTGCAGTCGTAGCCACATTGAGTTTCATCATCTCCGTCCGGACAGTCAATAGTGAAGTCACACACCTGTACGACAAAGTCATTCCTGTACAAACAACTCAACCGAAGTTAGTCAACGAAAGACCAATGCGTTTAACAATTTTATGATTATACATAGAATATTATAATTATATAATTATAATTGAGCATTTACTATAATGTGAAGCTTTAGTACCTACTCATTTGCAAAGTAGAAAACGAACCAGCTAGATAATGCAATTGGGGTTATAGTTTCAGTGGGGCTTACCCTGCTCCTGTCAATGCATGTTCCTGTGCTCTGGCAGGTGTAGCATGGAGGAGGTTTGGTTGGGGGCGGTGGGCAGGTACTACCGCTCCACATGACCAGGTCATCTAATGCGATATCACCGAGATTTCCACTGCCCACAATACCCTCAAAGATTATTTTGAATGCAGTTGTACCAGGTGTAAAATCTATTTGGTCAAAGAACCACTCATCACCTTGTTCACCAGTCTTGGTCCACACAACTTTTACAACTGCAACAAGAAGAAAAACAATTCAGTTTCCGAGCACAATTACAATTTTACAAATATTTATTACAATATAATTGTAACTTCTGGTGGAGATATATACTTCTCCATTTGGATTGCCAAATAATTGGTCTTGTACAAATCCTAATATATAATCCATATCTAAAATGCACGCATAGTGGTTGATTTGATTTGGTTTGTTACGATTATTATACTACAAATCACATGGAGGTAAAAAAAAAAGAAGGGTTTTCCTCGAATTATAAGAGCACGTACTAGAGTATTATATATGTTGTCTATGGTTTTACTGCCAGTAATCAGTACCTTCAGGAGAGCTGTACATGTGAAGCACTACATTTAGTGTTCCCACGTGTGTCCCTTTCATATGGTACCAAAACTGGAGGCAGCTATCATGACCAGAAGTGCTAAAGATCTGCATCACTGTTGAGTGCAAGTAGGCTTTCTCTCCAGGCTGGGCGTACTTTGATGGCATAACTAGGTAGCCACCATATATTGTACCTATATGAGCAGACAGTATAACGGCTCAAATTAATACTCTCAGTGACTATCAGAGTGTTAGACTGATAATTTATATGATTAATTTGTAACTGATTTCCTACAAATAATAATATTCTCGGTGAACTGAGACAAGCGACACATCAAATATGTTAATATTTAAATATATTAACTCGCTGTCGACTATCTCACATCCATGATTAAAAACTACTACCAGAATTAACTCGCTACTACAAACAACAGACCAGACCACCACCATAACAACAACAACAACAACAACAACAACAACAACAATAATAATAATGATAATGATAATAATATATGGTGGTAATGGTGTCGGTGGTCATTGCTGAAATCTCATAAATCATTGCATGGTAATGGACGGTCAACCCGACCGACATCGATTGACCGATACATTATTATGAATACATCGATTATATCTATATCTATCTATCTCTCTCTCTATATATATATATATATATATATATAAATATATATATTTTATAAATACCTAGTGTGTGGTCGACGGCCGGTGCCGTGTCGTGCTTCAGCGTTTCACCGGACCCGATCAGCCAGTCGAGGTTGGCGCTTTGCCGGTCATTGCGGTACGTGCACGTGTCTAGCTCAAAGTCACAAACACCTGGCGGCACGCACACGTGCAGCTTGTCAACGTCGTCAACTGCGATGGCGCCGGACGCCGCCGTGCCGACCTCCGCCTCGATGGTGAGGAAGAAACTCGACACGGTCATCATCCTCACCTGTACGTGGTGAAAGCATGTATGTACGCAAGGTTACGCATCGTGACGTCACGCACCGTGAGCACGTGGAATGTCAGGTCACGTGTCGTGAGGTCACACGTCGTCAGCTCATGCAATTTCAGAGACATGTGACGCCACCCATCATGAGCTCACAGGTAGGAAATGCTGTAAGATTACATATCGTGAGGTTTAGTTTTATGTTTTACTTTACACGTAAATTTTTGGGTACTACTACAACAATATTACCAATTTACCAATACCAAATGACCATTTTTGGTATTATCCATGGTACTTATTACTGGGTATCATGCACTTACTATATATACTTACTGGATACTATCACTTACACGTGAATATATATAAATGTATATATATGAAATTTGTGTCACATACCTGCACAACATGCCACTCGTTGGCTTGGGACACTGACTGAGAGTGGATAAGATTCTGAGTCGCGGCCTCAGTATAGTAAATGTTCAGCGTGCCGACGTTAGCTCCCGACATCCAGTACCAGAACTGGAAGCACTGCATGAATGCTGGCAAGCAAAAGAAAAATGGCATTCACAGACTGGTAGACATTACAGTAAATCATTCCATCACATGCCATTTAATGGACAAGATACATTGTTGATAATTCTCCACTAAGCGAAACATCTATTGAACAAGGTCATAATAACATGGCTCTTATAGAAATGTGCTGTGCTGTTTAACATGAGATAGTGAAATAATAATACAATAGTAATAAGAGGTTCTTCATACTTAGTAACTACACTGGCTATGATAATTTAACAGTACTTAAACAAGTCCCAAAAAACAACCTTGTCTCATGACATTGACAGGTTGCTGGTTTAATTTGCATGTTAGCAGAGTATTCTAAAGTGGAAGAGCTTTTCTAGTGAGTTCGATTCGGCTTACTGTGCTTTTACTAGTTATTCTGCACTATAATTAGAGGCGACCAGACAGCAGAGAATTTCACATTATTTTTCCTTCACTTAGACTTTTATCACGTCTTTTATTATCAGCAGAGAAGAGACATGATGCAATTCAAACTGGCTAATGGAATGAATGCAACATACCCGAACTGTAAATGGGGCTGTTCACGCGAGCCTTGCTGCCGGCAGGCTGCTGCTGCTTGGTGGAGACATACAGGTAAGAGCCTTCATGTGTACTGTATGTGACATCACTGGTGGGACCAAAGTCCTTGGCGCCTGTTGCAGCTGTTAGATGAATCAGAAGTATATTCACGCATCTGTCATCTGTGACACCATGAAACTAGGAACCACCTACTACTACCATGTTGCTGGTGCTAGAGAAACTGTCTGCATATATATATACATATATATATATATATAATAATATATATAATTATTTATACCATCTGCAAGCTGCCAGTCGAAGTTTCCTGCTGGATCCTTAGTGAATTCACACCATCCATTCTCAAAGTCGCAGGAGCTGGATTCGGGGCAGGGTCCCTTGTTGAATTTGAAATCATCCAGAGCAATGTCAGCAGCCACAGTTGACGAGTTTACCACTGCCTCCATGACAATCCTACCGATACATAACAATTGATAAGGAAAGAAAAATGGTGGTGAAAATACTATACTTTAAATGTAATTTAAAATACACTAGTAGTGTAATTCAAATGCAATCTGGTGGATAAATGTACAGGCCAAAAACGCGATTGAGCAAAACATGCAGCAGTTAATTATAATCTAAAGTGGATACTAATAATGCATTCAACCTGCAACGTGAAAATATTGAGAGTGTCATTGCCACATTTATTTGTTGGGGGTTCAGATGTTCAGGTTTATCAGTTTAACAACAAAAAACAAGTTTAACAAGCAAAATAACGTCTAGGGCGGTGCCATTTGAGTAACGACGGGACAATACGAACCCAAGTACATCAACTTGAAACGGGAAAAAAATCTGAGAATTTCGAGGCGCTACCCTCTCCATAGTCACTTACATGTATTTGCCTGTGTGCCGAATGTGCAGCTGCGTATACTTCCAGTCAGGGATGTCCGTGCCGAACCTGGTCCAGATCTGCGTGTCCTTGCCCGCGCTGTCACGCATATACACGTTGAGTCGGCCCACGTGCGTCCCAAACATGTAGTACCAATACTTGAAGCAGACACCATCGGTCGGAAAGTCAGCCAGTGGGCTGACGACCCTTGCCTTGTCACCTGCGCACAGTAAGTGCAAGAGGCGACGTTACATACTGCATCGACCACTGTATCATAATATCCTGCATGAACACATCAGTTACTGAATGTAGAGTTAGGTAGTCTCCCTAAAGAAGAATGATGAGTAGGAGAGGGTCGGAGGAAGGAAGAAGAAGAGGAGGAGGAGAAGGAGGAGGCCAAGGAAGAAAAGGACGAGTGATTTAGACATCTTACATAATCTTTCTATTGCACTACCTATCGTGGTGTAGACCCCATGTGTCGATTCATGTAATGACAGTGTCAGTATAGAGATGGTGATCATCCAAAAACCATTTATTACGGCATATTAGGTACAATAGCAGTGTCAGTGAATTGATAACATATATTCGTCTTCTAATACTCACCAGCTTTCTGTCCTCCACCTTTAGCGTAGATGTACCAGCCAGCAGAACTCTGCATCGTGTGATCATATAATGGACCAGTGCCTTCATCAGAAGTTGCCCCTCTTAGAGACACCCACTGGAACTCGGCTAGATACAAGATAAAACACACCCAAAGTAAAGCCTTTTGCAAGGCGTGATAAAGCATTTCTAACTACGTATATATGTTATTGAAAGCTACAGTACATATAGTATAAACGTATACCGCCTGAGAAATCACTAGTTACCCGTGTTGTCATGCTGCCACGAACACCAGCCTCCCTGGAAGTCACAGTCAAATGGCGATGGTGGATAGGTAGGTGCGGGAGTTGGCATATTCGTCGTCGCCGTGGTAACTGCCTCGCAGCTCGTACCGAAAACCATCAAATCGTCAACGGCAATGTCACCATAATAGCCGGTGTCCAGCGTAGCTAGTAGAAACCATAAAAGCGTGGCGTCAATGGCAAACGGGCAATTTTCTCTAGAGACTTGAATTGCAGTACAATGCCACATGTACGTGTACCTCGTAATTTATAACACTCCGTTATAATTTACATATACACTCGGTGTAGTTCTTTTATGCAAATGCGTACAATGTGGGCTACATAGATAGAATATTGCTTCAATATAATGTCTCAGGAACAAACCTTCTATGATAAGGTACCATTCCGTAGAGGAACTGATGTGTATGTTAGCCTCATTCCAGCTGCTACCCTGTGCTTTGGACTTTTGCCAGAGAAGGATTTCAGCTGGATTTGCTGAAAAATAGTTAGGAGCAAAAAGGTACTGACACTGCTCAGATTGCTCATGATTCATTTAACACCATAAGTATAACTATAGTTCAGATAAGCCTTCTGAATATTTTACTCTATAATTTTACCCTAAGGAATATCCCCAATAAATGTTACACACATTACAGATGTGATGAATATGTAAATAAATGGGTCTTACAAATGGAGCTACAATTATTGTATTTAATGTTTCAATAACATAAATATGAATAATTCGTGAAATATATACTAACGAGCTCATTTCTGCTTAAGACACACCTGTGTTGAATTGCATCAGGTAGATGTTTAGCTCGCCAATGTTCGCACCATACATGTGGTACCAGAAGTTGAAGCACTGACCACCCATTGGTGTTGCCTGGAAAGGCTCACTGTACATTCGAGCTTTCGTTCCACTCGGTAAGCTGGTAGACGTCTCTATGTACATATAGTAGCTGTGCATGAAAAAACAACACAGCCATTGTGCATAATTACCTTTACACAAATGTAGCCTACAAAATACAACACATCACTTATTGTTTATCTCAAATACGAAAATGTTTCATGTTTATGTAACTTGTACATTTGAAACAGCATGAGCATGAGTGCATGATTGCATGAGTACATAAATTAATTATGTATCGATTACAAAACATTTGTAAATTACATATATCGTATATACTGCCCATATTATAAAGACCCAATGTACAATTGCATAGTTCAAAACGTCTCGACGTGCAATTAATTGACCTATCAATGACCAGTCAATCAAGCTTAGCTAGTTTCTATATGGTGCATGCCAAAACGTTACCCAAGCGGCACGTCGTTACAATATATATATTGTTTTTAGAATCGCCTATCACAATACTCGCAGCCTGGGTAGAGCTGCTTGTCAATCACTCATCATATTAGAAATACAGCGGTAATTAAAAGGACCCTATGTGACATCGCGTAGTCCAAGGCGTGGCGACAAGCCATTGAATTTGCAGATGGGACTCACCCGAGTTCCGTTCCCGTCGTGTGATCGTTTGCGGGGCCGGTCGTCGTCGATGGCGTACCACCCTTGTTGCGCAGCCATTCAAACTTCTGCGTGCGATCGCTCACCCAGCTGCACATGTTCGACTCAAAGTCGCAGAATCCTGGCGGCCCACACGCATGGTCCGAGATCTGCATGTCATCGATGGCGATGTCGCCACTGCCGGCCGTACCCACCTCACCTGTGCAGAGCGCACGCGAATGAGACAATTTCGCATTTCGAAAAGCAAGATGCATTCTGGAAGTGTACTCAACTACCGAGTACGATGCTCAAGTATGGCAATACAGTACACAATTTATTATCCGAAACGTTTTGGAATTCAGAATTTTTTGGATTTCGGAATGGTAGTACAGTACAGATATGCATACCGTATATCCTGCATCTAGCCAGTACTTAAAACCCAAGTTTTCAAGAGGCCAAGTGCTGTATCACAGTAACATAATTATTAATGCATATTATGTATGAGTAATGCCAAACACATTGACATTTCTGCAGTGAACCTTGTGCGGCCAAACGCGAGCTTTGGTGTGCAGACAACCTCCACGAAAAAACGTTCGGCTTTCGGAGCTTTTCGGTTTTCAGAATTTTGGATAATTGATTGTGTACTGTAATTGTTATTTAAGCGTCAAAGTGAATTCTTTGCTTGCCACAACCAATTCAACAACAGCCAGCCTGCTACCTATGTTATAACAAAGAAGCGAGCGTGTTTGGCGGACGAAATCTATGTATGACCTGGTTATGAAATAGGATTACTAAGAATGTGTGAATGTCTTACACCAATAGGGGTAGAATTTCACCACGGCACTGACAGCATGTTCCCTCGATCAGTACGCATAGCAGATCCTCGTAGAAAAAAACAATGACTATGGCAACAAATGCTTGACGTGTCTACTCTCAAACAATAACGTATGTGTTATGTGTCTACAACTGACAAAGCGAAGCTAATACGCGATTATACCTTCAAACAGGACGTTGTAGGGCTTGCCAATATCTGACAGGGTAACGGTTCCTCTCCACCACATATCACCCATGTTGTCAGACCTGATCCAGGAGGGTCGGATCAGCTGCGCTTTCGGATCAAACTGGTACACGTACAGGGATCCGATGCCAGACCCATACATGTGGTACCAAAACGTCAGGCACCTACAGATTAATTCAACACCATCAGAATATAAAAAAATTGGATCATTAAAAATAAAAATAAACCTTCATGAAACATTCCCATAAGTTTTAACTGTTTTCATGCTGTATGATAAGTCATAGATGGTGCGATACAACAGACCAGCAAACAATTGGCTTTCCCCTGATCTAAATTCTCGATAAATCACTCTACATATCGGTACAACAGACCAGCAGACAATTGGTCACCACCCCATCATAATTGTCAATAAACCTCTCTACATTTTCACTAAAACTGTCATCAGTCTTTTGCCTCTTTGCACCACACACCTCTCTGATGTCATGTCGTACAGGGGGCTGATAAGCCCGGCTCTGTCACCGGCCTTCCCCTTAGCCGAGTTCATGTAGGCATAGTAACTCGTGTTGGTCTGCGTCGAGTGGTCGAACGACGGGCCGGTGTCTGCGTTTGGCGTCGCGCCGCGCCCTCGTGTCCAGTCGAAGCTGCTGTTGTATCCATTGACGTGACTCACAAAATGGCAGAAGTCATACTCAAAGTCGCACTCCATTGTCTGGCATGGGCCAGGGTACGTGATTATGTCATCGATCGCAATATCGCCTGCACAGTACAACAGATCAGAAACTAGAGGTGGGTGGCTGTGACCACAAGGCTGTGGCAATTTATTATCACCTGTAAAGCAGCTGGGATCCTTGGTCATGCCCATCAAGATCTTCCGCTACCCGAAAATAACCTTTACATGATACCAATTAAGAATTAAAGCTTTGATAGCTACGAATGGTTTCATCATGTGTTTCATTTCATATTATTCTGTGAAGCACCTGGAAAGTTTTTGTTTAATCCTATCAACACAAGTCAACTCTATTGTCTTTGATACGGAATTTTAATGGTTAATCACATTTTGTGTGATCATGCATGATACTTAACATACAGAGGGTGCTTTACAACATACGATCATTAGTATATTCATATGATCCATAGCTGCATGGTATCTGTGACAATAAACATGCCGAATATGTGACATACCTGCGTAGCTCTGGCCGATGATTCCTTCAAACGTAAGCATGTAGTCATCAGTGGAGTTGATGAATTTCTCAGCCAACTTCCACTCATCTCCCTGAGCTGAGTTCCTAGGTATGATAAGCACATGTGCATCATATATCACTCTACACTGGATAGTGAAATAGTGGCATGCATGACCGCCGTGCACACTGTTACTCTTACATGGTACCATATCACACGTTCATTATACCTATATGTATTACACCTAACACTACCGCATCTGGTTGCATAACTCGCTTTTATTCTGATAGCAGATGGCTCGAACAAGTATGAAAACGAGATGGCTGATGCCGCATTGATTCGTGTGGACACCTCTTACCTCATCCAGATGGTGCTGCGTAACCTGCTCGTAAACATGATCAGATTAAGGGTGCCGACGTCAGCGCCGTACATGTGGTACCACCAGCTGAAGCACAAGCCGCTGGCGTTTGTGGCTTTCTGCACACCGCTGTCCAGCCAGGCACGGTCACCGGGACTTCGTGAGGTTGCCTCCGTGTACAGATAGTAACCTGCCAGCAAGAATGTGTGCAACAAACCTATCAATTTACACTCATTCAGTTAATTACATTGTTTAGATATTGGCTCAGCGCACTACACAGTAATATCCCATGATACGTAATGGATTTGTGAAAACCGTTCGTAATGATAAAATCCATAATGTGAATGACGTTTTGCCAGTGAAAAAAATACAATGTTGACTAATGTATTATATAACTAGAAAGCGCAGTTGTCGCCAACTACATGTATCCCCCGTGTTCTCCCCAAGATGTGTAAGTATACAAAGTTTGGTCGCGCTAGGTCAATTAGGGGCCGAGTTATAGAGCGGAAGGGAAATATGATGAAGGTCAAGGTCAAGGTCAATGTCAAATAAAGGTTGCAGTGACCTGGTTTCAGTACGCAACACACCTTCTCCCCAAGATGTGTAAGTATACCAAGTTTGGTCGCGCTAGGTCAATTAGGGGCCCGAGTTATAGAGTGGAAAGGAAATATGATGAAGGTCAAGGTCAAGGTCAATGCCAAATAAAGGTTGCAGTGCCCTTGTTTTGGTACGCGAGCCGACACACCATCTCCCCAAGATGTGTAAGTATACCAAGTTTGGTCGCGCTAGGTCAATTAGGGGCCGAGTTATAGAGCGGAAGGGAAATATGATGAAGGTCAAGGTCAAGGTCAATGTCAAATAAAGGTTGCAG